GTATAGCAAGACACAACAATATATTAAAGCAAAGTCAAAGGTCACAACGCCCGGGCAACAGCGGTAACGATTATCAGAACCGGTTCTGGGCGTCCCCAAGGTCGACTCAGCCTGAAATTAATATCTGATGCGGTATATAAACATCACCACTAGTGCGTTGTGCTGGCCACCGACCCCCTTGTCTGTCGTTCCGATCTTCATAGATGCTCGCTCACAACACTTGTCCCAACAGTCTGCTGAGACTAGACGGGGGATCGTTGTCTTGTTGTTTGTATGTATTACCAGTAAACCGGTAACCGTTGTGAGAATGGGTTACCAGATCCGAAGTCAGGAACCGGTAATCGTCCCCAGTATGGATTGTGAGTGGGACTCGTGGGCGTGCCCACACCTCACCCCACCACACGCGGGGGGGGGGGGGAGGTCCTTGCTCCATCGTCTCAGCTGCCGCGCCTGGAGATGGAGTCGAACCGGCCAACTCTGCGTTGCGATCCGTCACACATTGGTCGCGAAAGCCTCCGTGCTCATCTGCGCTGCGAACCGCTACACCGCAGTTGTTGATCGCATTCACGGTTTAAAAAATGCTGGTGAAGGTTTGCTGGATAACAACAATGTCTTCTTACTTCGTAAGTCTCAGTCGAGGAGGACACGCTTCGTGTGACGCTCAAGCGAGACATTTCTAGCGAACCGGTAACAGCTGTTCCCCCATACGGTGGTTGCGAATGTGAAAAAAATACCATTTCACAAACCCGCGTGCATGTACACCGCGTGCATGTGTGGCTGGGCCGTGTACTTATCACGAGCTCCAGTTTGGCGGCTGAGGTCTCACTGAACCAGTCGAGCGGCATTATATTTTCACCAGCTGCGTACGCTGTGTTGAAGCTACCTGGTCTATTGCTCCAAACGAAGTACTGGATCTTCTCGGCAACGGTTATGCCCTTCCTTCTCTATGCTTGTAAAAGTGGAGCCCTCTAAAGGAATATCTGCGCCGGTTAGCCTGCCTACAATCCATCTTGGGTTTAACCAGACTGGATTGTGTGAGGAGCTTCCAGATCCTTGAAATATCTGGACAGTTTCATCAGTGAGCTCCTCCGGCAAGCGAGGCTGATTTGGCTGGACCATTTAGCCCCATGCCCAGCCACCGCATGCCCAAGCAGCTTCTGTTTGGCCGGATCGAGGGGGTTAAACGGGCGCGGCATGGGCGAGAGAAGGTATGGGCTGATGCGGTACAGGGGATGTGGAGCTGAGTGGACTTGCCGATGACCGGTTCCACCGATGTCAAGATCGGCCTCTGTGAATGAGGTTCATGAAGGACGCTTCTGGAAAGTGGGAGGCAGTCGCCCTTCAAGAACAGCAGAGGGCACAGGAGCAATGCTCACAACAACGAGCGGAGCGCCGGGCGGATAAAACGCAGAAAGTTGGCACAGTGGGGAGCACCGGTGGTGAATCTGTCAGTCGTCTCGGTCAGTCAACCCTGGGCACCTGGGTCTGTTCCGTGACCTCCATGTGCGTGTGTATAGTGTGTGTATACTGTGTGTACACCGTGTGTGCATGTACACCGTGTGTGTGTACTATGTGTGTACACCGTGTGTATATGTACACCGTGTGTGTACATTGTGTGTGTGTACACCGTGTGTGTGTACATTGTGCGTGTGTGTACACCGTGCGTGTGTACATTGTGCGTGTGTGTGTACACCGTGTGTCTGTGTGTACACCGTGTGTGTGTACACCGTGTGTGTGTGTGCATTGTGTGTGTTTGTGTACATTGTGTGCGTGTGTGTACATTGTGCGTGTGTGTGTGTACATTGTGTGTGTGTACATTGTGTGTGTGTGTACACCGTGTGTCTGTGTACACCGTGTGTGTGTACACCGTGTGTGTGTGTACATTGTGTGTGTGTGTACATTTTGTGTGTGTGTACACTGTGTGTGTGTACACCGTGTGTGTGTGTACACCGTGTGTGTGTGTACAGTGTGTGTGTACATTGTGTGTGTGTGTACCCCGTGTGTGTGTACACCGTGTGTGTGTACACCGTGTGTGTGTGTACACCGTGTGTGTGTACATTGTGTGTGTTTGTGTACATTGTGTGCGTGTGTGTACATTGTGCGTGTGTGTGTGTACATTGTGTGTGTGTGTACATTGTGTGTGTGTGTGTACACCGTGTGTCTTTGTACACCGTGTGTGTGTACATTGTGTGTGTGTGTACATTGTGTGTGTGTACACCGTGTGTGTGTACATTGTGTGTGTACACCGTGTGTGTGTGTACACCGTGTGTGTACACCGTGTGTGTGTGTACATTGTGTGTGTGTGTACACCGTGTGTGTGTACATTGTGTGTGTGTGTACACCGTGTGTGTGTGTACACCGTGTGTGTGTGTGTACATTGTGTGTGTGTATACACCGTGTGTGTGTGTACATTGTGTGTGTGTGTGTACACCGTGTGTCTGTGTACACCGTGTGTGTGTACACCGTGTGTGTGTGTACATTGTGTGTGTGTGTACATTGTGTGTGTGTACACCGTGTGTGTGTGTACACCGTGTGTGTGTGTACACTGTGTGTGTGTACACCGTGTGTGTGTGTACACCGTGTGTGTGTGTACAGTGTGTGTGTACATTGTGTGTGTGTGTACCCCGTGTGTGTGTACACCGTGTGTGTGTACACCGTGTGTGTGTGTACACCGTGTGTGTGTGTACATTGTGTGTGTTTGTGTACATTGTGTGCGTGTGTGTACATTGTGCGTGTGTGTGTGTACATTGTGTGTGTGTGTACATTGTGTGTGTGTGTGTACACCGTGTGTCTTTGTACACCGTGTGTGTGTACATTGTGTGTGTGTACATTGTGTGTGTGTGTGTACACCGTGTGTCTTTGTACACCGTGTGTGTGTACATTGTGTGTGTGTGTACATTGTGTGTGTGTACACCGTGTGTGTGTACATTGTGTGTGTACACCGTGTGTGTGTGTACACCGTGTGTGTACACCGTGTGTGTGTGTACATTGTGTGTGTGTGTACACCGTGTGTGTGTACATTGTGTGTGTGTGTACACCGTGTGTGTGTGTACACCGTGTGTGTGTACACCGTGTGTGTGTGTACATTGTGTGTGTGTACATTGTGTGTGTGTACACCGTGTGTGTGTGTACACCGTGTGTGTGTGTACACTGTGTGTGTGTACACCGTGTGTGTGGGTACACCGTGTGTGTGTGTGTACATTGTGTGTGTGTGTACATTGTGTGTGTGTGTGTACCCCGTGTGTGTGTACACCGTGTGTGTGTACCGTGTGTGTGTACACCGTGTGTGTACATTGTGTGTTTGTGTACATTGTGTGCGTGTGTGTACATTGTGCGTGTGTGTGTGTACATTGTGTGTTTGTGTACACCGTGTGTGTGTGTGCATTGTGTGTTTGTGTACATTGTGTGCGTGTGTGTACATTGTGCGTGTGTGTGTGTACATTGTGCGTGTGTGTACACCGTGCGTGTGTACATTGTGCGTGTGTGTGTACACCGTGTGTCTGTGTGTACACCGTGTGTGTGTACACCGTGTGTGTGTGCATTGTGTGTGTTTGTGTACATTGTGTGCGTGTGTGTACATTGTGCGTGTGTGTGTGTACATTGTGTGTGTGTGTACATTGTGTGTGTGTGTACACCGTGTGTCTGTGTACACCGTGTGTGTGTACACCGTGTGTGTGTGTACATTGTGTGTGTGTGTACATTGTGTGTGTGTACACTGTGTGTGTGTACACCGTGTGTGTGTGTACACCGTGTGTGTGTGTACAGTGTGTGTGTACATTGTGTGTGTGTGTACCCCGTGTGTGTGTACACCGTGTGTGTGTACACCGTGTGTGTGTGTACACCGTGTGTGTGTGTACATTGTGTGTGTTTGTGTACATTGTGTGCGTGTGTGTACATTGTGCGTGTGTGTGTGTACATTGTGTGTGTGTGTACATTGTGTGTGTGTGTGTACACCGTGTGTCTTTGTACACCGTGTGTGTGTACATTGTGTGTGTGTACATTGTGTGTGTGTGTACACCGTGTGTCTGTGTGTACACCGTGTGTCTGTGTGTACACCGTGTGTGTGTACACCGTGTGTGTATGTACATTGTGTGTGTGTGTATTCACTGATTGTGGATGCAGCGCGCGTCGCTGCGCATTGTGCTCAGCCCTCCCTCTCCCACAGCTTGCTCCAACTAATTTCTCTCCCACCCATCTCTTCCATCCCATCTCCCCAACACATCTCCCCAACTCATGTCTCTCCCACCCATCTCTCTCCCACCCATCTCTCCAACTCATCTCTCTCCCACCCATCTCTCCCCCACCATCTCTCTCTCCCACCCATCTCTCCCACCCATCTCCCCAACTCATCTCTCTCCCACCCATCTCTCCAACTCATCTCTCTCCCACCCATCTCTCCAACTCATCTCTCTTCCACCCATCTCTTCCACCCATCTCCCCAACACATCTCCCCAACTCATCTCTTTCCTACCCATCTCTCTCCCACCCATCTCCCCAACTCATCTCTCTCCCACCCATCTCTCTCCCACCCATCTCTCTCCCACCCATCTCTCCAACTCATCTCTCTCCCACCCATCTCTCTTCCACCCATCTCTCTCCCACCCATCTCTCTCCCACCCATCTCTCCAACTCATCTCTCTCCCACCCATCTCTCCCACCCATCTCCCCAACTCATCTCTCTCCCACCCATCTCTCCAACTCATCTCTCTCCCACTCATCTCCCCAACTCATCTCTCTCCCACCCATCTCTCTATCCCACCCATCTTCCCAACTCATCTCTCTCCCACCCATCTCCCAACTCATCTCTCTCCCACCCATCTCCCCAACTCATCTCTCTCCCACCCATCTCCCCATCTCATCTCTCTCCCACCCATCTCCCCAACTCATCTCTCTCCCACCATTTCCCCAACACATCTCCCCAACTCATCTCTCTCCCACCATTTCCCCAACACATCTCCCCAACTCATCTCTCTCCCACCCATCTCTGTAACACATCTATCTCCAACGCACATATCTCGAACACATCTCTCTCATACATCTCCCTACAAACATCCCCACACATCTTCCATTGCACGCGTCTACCACTGCATACATCTCTAACTAATTTCCCTCCATACAGTACACTCTATCCCACATCTTGAATCGACACACCTCCCTCAACACACCTTCCCGCTACATCTCCCTCCCTGTAATATTTTCCCCCCTCCAAATATTTTTCACATTCATCTTTTGTTCTCAGTGTGGATTTGGCCTCCGCCGCGCGTCGCATACAGATCAGCTGGGGTGTAGAAATCCGCGGAAGCACAGATCATATGGGATTTAGAAATGCGAGGGAATGCATACAGATCAGCTGGGATTTAGAAATCTGAAGGAGCGTCTCCAGACCAGCTGGGATTTAAAAATCCGCGGAAGCGCATACAGATCAGCTGGGATTTTGAAATCTGAAGGAGCGTATACAGATCAGCTGGGATTTAGAAATCCGCGAAAGCGCATACAGATCAGCTGGGATTTAGAAATCTGAAGGAGCGTATACAGATCAGCTGGGATTTAGAAATCCGCGAAAGCGCATACAGATCAGCTGGGATTTAGAAATCTGAAGGAGCGTATGCAGATCAGCTGAGATTTAGAAATCCGCGAAAGCGCATACAGATCAGCTGGGATTTAGAAATCTGAAAGAGCGTATACAGATCAGCTGGGATTTAGAAATCCGCGAAAGCGCATACAGATCAGCTGGGATTTAGAAATCTGAAGGAGCGTATACAGATCAGCTGAGATTTAGAAATTCGCGAAAGCGCATACAGATCAGCTGCGATTTAGAAATCTGAAGGAGCGTATACAGATCAGCTGGGATTTAGAAATCCGCAAAAGCGCATACAGATCAACTGGGATTTAGAAATTACGCGGAAGCGCATACAGATCAGCTGAGAATTAGACATCTTCGGAACGCTAAAACTCCACCAACAAGATTGCGAAATAGACTGGAGGAGCGGAGGGATACACATTTGTAGACAGGAGCTGGCTGTCCAATCAGTCACGAGCACTCGCTCTCCCTCTACCTCGAACCCCCCTATCCAACCATTAAACACATCATGATTAGATGCTACTGCATTAGCAAAGGTGCACAAATGACGCAACACACTCCGTGTCAATAACATCACCCCGTGTGTGCGCGTGGCCTTACAAGGACATTTATGGTCGAGCATGGCACATTGTACAGCCCTGTGTGTGACTACTGCTGCTGCTGTTGTATAATGACGACCCTGCTGATGTCCATGATGACGATGTGTACAGGATTCTCGCCCCCTCCTCCTCGTCGCCACCACCACCATGGTGCAGCTCGGGAAACCGCGAGTCAAGGAGTCCAAGGAGCTCAAGGGGAGCCAGGAGGGGGGTGCCCCCCCTCTCCAGGGTGGGGGGCCCCCGCCCGGCCTTACAGTCCTCGACGTGGAGCAGCTCGAGTACTCCGTGTGCGAGGAGGTAACGAGGTGGGGTGGGGGTGTTGATGGGGGGTGGTAGAGAAGGAGGTGGGGGAGGTAGACGAAGTAGAGTAGGTGGAGGTAGATGGAGGACGTGGGAGTGGACGTGAAGTAATCGACCATGAGAGCAGGGAGTGACTTTGACCTCTCCCCGTCTGTAGAGCCCCGTGAAGACGCGCACGGCGTTTGACCCGGCGCGCGATGGCCGCCTGCACCGCGTCACGGAGCTCACCATCGACATCGGAGAGGCGGCCTCCGACAGATTCAAGGTGTCGCCCTTTAAACGCCCAGTGGGGATACGTGTGCAGGGGACGAGACGAGCGTTGGAGTGGCACCTCGAGATCAGCGACCAAGGGTGCCCTGCCAGGCGGTGGCGAGGGGGGCTCGTACGGGACTGGGCAACAGCGCGAAGCCACATCTGGCAGGAGGAGTTTTCAGTTTTATTTATTTTGATATAGCCCTGTGAGCCATTCGGCTCTTGAATCGGGTGGAACCACAACAAACAAAAACACGATCAAGAAAACATGGCGACTCGTGCGCGTTTTGAGTGGAGAGCAGTAATGCAGCAGTTAGTGCACTGAGCTACCAACCTGGCGACCCGAGTGATTCCCACTTACAAACAATATAATTTGCGAATATTTGAGCCAGTTGTATGTATGATGAACTTCTTTCGCACCGTACGTAGCCAACCGTGGTAATCGGAGGTGCGGGGGGTTCTGGATCTCCCTTCGGTAGACTCTGCCCCAAATGATTACTGCACCAGGTGCCCTGTGTAAATATCAGCACCGGGCAGACAAAGGCGACCGGGCGTGTTGGCCACCCACTCCCTCGTGTGCCGTGCTCGCTAACAGTCCTTGCCCCATAGTCTGTAAGGCCAAGCGGGGGACCTTTATCTCTGTGCGTGCGCAGGCCACGGTGCTGATCTTCTTCGCGCTCGCGTTTCTCTCCTGCGTCGTGTTCCTCGTCGTCTACAAGGTCTACCGCTACGACCAGGCCTGCCCCGAGGGCTTCATCGTCAAGGTATAAAACCCAGGTGGACGAGGAAGAAGAGGTTCGTAATGGCCCGGTCGAGCCGCTGAGCGCAGCACCTGGTTTACTCTTCTGTCGTAAGCCCTGGTTTAACTCTGTTCTGCGTGGGGTTCCTCCACGTTCTCTGGGGCCTGAGTCTAGGAAATCTGCGCGAATTCTACCAGGAAACGATTTGCGTAACGCTTAAAAAACGAGCCGTATAGTAGTTGCTATAGATGGCGTCATCACTCCCACTCCGCCAGCCAATCGGCTGCTAGGGAGATTCTGGTGCCAATTTCCTTGAACGCTGCCTCTGCAGCAGCAGCTGCACTCTTAAGGGAGAGCAGCGAACTCCGCGTACGATGAGGTGGACTCCCTCGTTTACGATTCAAGGTGGCGTCCACCTCGGTGACGCTATCCCAGCGTTTAGCAGCAGCAGCGGGAGCCATGCGATTGCACGCACGGCACAGATGAACATGGCAATGCTGTTAATGTTATAATAGTTAAACAAGCAAAATATTACGTAACAAAACATGCGCAAAAATAGAACCGCTCAAACTAGACACAACACGACAACAAAGACAAATACACACACAGCTGTTCAAACGCAACAAACGCGGAGTTCAGAGAGTGAGACCGAGCGGAAATTTGAGCAATCCCGGTGCGCGAATCTCAGGAATTGAAAATGTTAGAAATCGAGGCTTACATCAATGCATGATTTTGCTAAAGCCGTTAGGTACCCTGGGCCCAAGTCCCCGGCTTCCCCTAACTCGACTTAGCCTCGAATGAGTACCTGGGGAGGCAAAGGCGGCCGAGCGTGGTCCTGGCCACCCACCCCCGCATGTGCCGTGCCGGCTTTTGCAGCTGCTTCCTAGCAGCACTTGCCCCAACAGTCTATTGAAGGCTACGCGGGGGCACTTTGTGTGCACTTTGTGTGCACGGTACGTGTCGTGACGTGTCGCTATGCGCGTGTCACCCCGGACACCATGACGCACTTGGGAGTTCCATCTTGAGGGATCCTCCAGGTGAAAGATTTTAATTTATAGACTGTCGAGTATAAAAACAAATATTTGGTGGCTGGCTGGAGGGAGGGAAGGACAGACGGTCACGTCCAAAGGATGTTGGGACTGCTTTTTGATACCCTGAAAATAACATTTTACATTTTGGTGCTCACCTCACGTTTACAGCCCTACAGAGTCTTAGTGGAAATTACAAATTTCCCTCCACATCCCCATAGCGGGTGCGACCACCGGTGAGATCCTGGCAGGAAGGAAACGTATCAGTATTGAAACGCGTTATAGTTGAATGCTAAATTTTTTCAACCAATCCAAGTAGGCAGCAGTAGACTCTGCGTGGATCCTAGCGACACCGCCAGGATGCTTCGTGGACGATGGTCTCGTGGAAGCGGCAGGACGATGCTTTCTTCTGGTGCTCCCGGGTTGTCGCTGATCCTGGTCCTGAAAGCGTCTCTCTCACAATGTTTATAATGGCCGGGTCAAGGCGCTACGAGATTTAGGAGAAGACTCACGCTCAGTAAAAACACCGTCCCATAAATCCTGCACCCCTCCTCCCATTCCCTCCAATGCCATTTCAGCTAATGTGCGCATTCATGTGGCACTCAGGGCAGAGTGATAGCACAGCGTGCATGTGTGTGTGGGAAAGGCGACCTAGTGGTTAGCCCATCGCGCTACGAACCCAGCGACCCTGTTCCTGACAACGGCCAACATCAGCGACGAATATCTGAACCGGTCCTGGGCCTCCCCTCAGTCGAAATGAGTATCTGGTGCAGTGTGCGGTGGGGTAAAGTGTGGGTACACCCAACCCCTCGTGTGCCATGCCAGACGTAATAGGTGTTCGCCAATAGAACTTGCCCCCAACAGCTTGTGTAGGCGACACGGGATCTTTGTGTGCGTCTGAGCGATCTGTGTCGGCACACGCACAGCGCTGATGTCCGCAGAGGCTGCGGTGTTGATTGGCGCAGGGGGGGGGGGGGGGGGGCGAGGGGATTCTCCCGCGACTCACGTGAAGAGCAGCGAGGCATCGGTGCTCACCTCGCGTTTAAAGCCGTGCAGAGTCAGTGGTGTAAATTCCACATTCCCATGGCCGGGGCACATTTATCCATGTGACAACTGCATTAACCATACATTACTTAACGCCGTCTGCTTCACTCTCGGTGGATGTTAATGATCCCGTGGTGTCATTTGAAACAAGTTGGCAATTCATATTCTTAGCTCTTTCGGTAAAGTCACGTTGAAGGGAAACAATAAAATATATATAAAACAATAAAAAAAATTCTCACGACGTTTCGACCATAACACAAACGGTCGTCATCAGGTGTGTGCCGGCCTCATGGGCCCAAATTTGCGGAATTACGCTGCAAGTTCCTCAATAGGGATGACACCTTGTACCACGCAGGGACAGCTGTCACTGGGGGTGCTCTTCCAAGGTGTTGGAGATGCTAGATAAGTTGCCTGTCGAGTCTCCCCTCTCTCCCTGTGTGTGCCGCGTGGGCAGCACAACCGCTGCGTGCCGGGTGGCGCCGTCCACTCTGGGGGGTCGGGGAGCCTCGACGCTCGCTTCTACTCCCTCGTGGCTCACTCGGCGCATTCCCGCTCCACGCTGCCACGCTCCGTCTCTCCTTGGATCGAGTCGCTCTTCACGCACAACAGGCAACACAACGGCGCCGGCTAGGAGGGCCCCGCGGGTGGTGGTGATGGTGTCACGGTGGAGCCAGATTCATCCCCCGCATCATCCTAATCATCCTCATCATCCACCTCATCATCACCCCACTCATGCCTGGCTACACTCACTCGATCACCTACTCACCGACTCACTCATCTCCATATCACTCTTTTATCGCTACTACCATGTTTACTGTTCCAGGTAACTTTGCTCACTGATTCACTAGAGCCATTCACCAGAAGTGAGTTATCTCCTTATTCACTCACCCACTCACTCAGCAAACTGCAGGTCACCTCACTTCTCATTCTGCAACTCCCTCGCACTGCTCCACTTTTGAATTCCCTCTCCAGTCGTCATCATTGTATTTCTTGCTTCGGCTCCTATCACCATAATAACCGTGCTCAATTCAAGAAACGCGTTCATTATTCTATATTAACCACTTCAATAGTGCTGTTTGTTGCTGGCCGCTTGGCGGGCTGGCCATTTGGGCCCTGTGCTCAGCCACTGTTTAAACAAAGATAAATAAAAACACGAGACTTTAATCCAAGTGGCGTTTGAGGGGGGGGCTGAAATGATGGTAGTTATTAACTTATTTCGTATTTGGGGCTCAACTCTGCTCCTCGTGTTGCGATCTCCGATCCTAGTGGAGATCCCCTATGGCACGCAAACGCGTGTACATGATGTGTGTGTAGCGTCACCCAAACTCTGTGTAAGTGTCGTTCGGCTCAACCGGGGTTGTTAAATCGGCTATGTTTTTGTAACCGGTAACCGCGTGCAAAAATGGTGAGAAACCGGTTCGTACCGGTTTGTGAGCGGCATATACAGGAACGATCAGAACAGCAACACGAACCACGTCCCGTGGGGCTCCGTAGCTGAGACACGAAGGCCGCTGCCACCAACGCGGCGTAGCGCTTCGCAGCAACGCAACTCGCGACCCACAGGGGCGCGGGGTCGGTTCCATCTCCCGGCGCGGCAGCTGAAACAGTGGAGCAAGTTTGTCATAAAGATGCACCTTGTGACTGAGAGACGAAGGTAAATGTCCCACGCCGTGCCGTGTGCATGTTTGGTCGTGCCACCCCCAGGCACGCGTCGCCGTCACGGCTACTGCAAGGATCCCACCGTGTCCGTCCAGTGCTCGCCGAGCCGCATTCATCTGTGCCGATGGGCGCGTTCATGACGAACATTCCCACTGGAGCCGGCTTTCGGCTCGTGACTCTCTAAACTGGTTACCGTTTCTGACAGCGGTTACCGGTTTAGCGGTGAATGTTTACCAACCTCGGCGGTTTCGACTCGGTGGGCTTTGCCGTGCCAAATTTTGATACAAAACTCCCTGCCCCCCTCCCTCCCCGGGCAGCAGCAGCGCCCCCCCCCCCCCCCCCGTGGTTGTCGTAGTTCGTCGCGTCTTTGTGCTGCCCTCATCGCTTGCGCCGTCGTGAAGGTCGCTGTGTAGGTCACGAGCTTACGGGGCAGGCAGCACGCCTCCTGCACACCTCTGCCCCTCCGCATGAACCCACGTAGTCTTTATTTACACACGCCATCGTCCGCACGACCTTCCTTCTGGGTGTGCGCCCTCATCTTTTGTGTCAGACGAAGAAGAGCCGACACGGCGAGTCCTCGCTGATGCACATGGGGCAGTTCATATGCATTGACTCAAGCAAGCCTGCCTCTGCTGATGGGACACCGAATGTAGAAACCGGTCGAGTTTTGCTTGAGTTGGACTGATGCTGTTGATGTGATCATCCAGAAGGGAGGCGATTACACGATCGTGTGGCTGATGGGATGCGTTTAGAAATATACTTGTGCTTTGTATCTCTGTGGAGGGACGGATATGTGGAGCATGAGGCGTGTTGTCTGCTTGCTTGCTGTGTACTCGCGTTGTGTGTAGTTCGCGACTTAAGTAAAGATCGCACATTCACTCTTATCTTTACAATACATTATCGTTGATTGATCACACGCGCTCGACTCTTGAGTATTTTATAACGACTGCTGGCTCTGCCGGTTCGATTCACGGCTCATTGGAAAATTTGTGCGGGAAGTCAACAGTGGATGGCCTCTGGAGAGACTCGCCCATGCACACCTCAGAAACGTGGAATTTCTACCACTCACTCTGCAGGGCTGTAAACACAAGATGAGCACCAATGTTCATGTGAGCAGAGAAGCAGTTTGACTTATTTTATCTTGATATTTTTCACAAAGCTGCTAGGCCGGCTTAGACATTATTATCGGCGTAAAGCACTACCACTAGAGTACAACGTAGTATATCCATAACAACCCTATATGATTGTGCCCTGTATTTCGAGAGGAAAAGGAGCGGTGGGATTCGCTCATGAGCAAGTGGAGAGGTGCAGGCCGTGTCCAGCAGGGTCCCAGGACGGGACCCTGAGAGCGAGGTCTCCCGACACGAGTCGTGGTTTGTGTGACTCCAGCGATGCCATCACTGTCCCCTTTGTGTACCATTGGTCACGTGAAGATGGAAGTGGAAGAAATCTTCAGAGGCGCGGGGCCAAACAAACCCAGCTCCATCAAATATATAACAGAAAGGTCCCCGCGTGGCCAACGCAGTGTGTTGGGGAAAGTGTTTTCAACGCGAGATGGTGGTGTGGTCTAAACAACACCCGGCTGCCTTTGTCTCCCCAATGTTATTTACATGCCGCACAAGATACTCGTTTTAGGACTGAGTCCATTGAGTAGAGGCCGAGGGCCAGTTCAGATATCGTTACTGATGTTGGCCATGGGCGAGAATCGAACTCGAGTCGCCAGGTTCGTAGCACAGCACGTTAACCACCGCTCCCCATACGTACTTAAAAGAGACATACACATTCACACTAACACACACATTTACACACATTCACACACTAACACACACTAACACACACATTCACGCACATTTACACACATTCACACTAACATACACTAACACACATTCAAACTAACAACACAAAGACAGATATCCCCCGTATAGCCTGAAGATACATTTGGGGAAATTGCTGTTCGCGAGTACCTAGAAGGCAGGTGGCCAACACCACCTTCGGCCGCCTTTGTCTCCTCAGTGGTGATGTTTACGCCTCGCACCAGGTACTTTTTTGAGACTGAGTCAACTTAGGGAGGCCTGGTTCAAATAATCATCACTGGTGTTAACCGTGAGCGGGAATCGAACTCAGGACGCCGGGTTTGTAGCTCAGCTCGCTAACCCCATACTACCCCTCCCCCATTCACACTAACACACATCCACACTAACACACATTTCCACACTAACACACATCCACACTAACACATTTCTACACTAACACACGTGCACACTAACTCACATTCACACGAACACATCCACACTAACACACATCCACACTAACACACATGCACACATCCACACTAACACACATTCACACTAACACATCCACACTAACACACTAACACACATCCACACTAACACACATTCACACTAACACACTAACACACATCCACACTAACACACATTCACACTAACACATCCACACTAACACACATCCACACTGACACACTAACACACACCCACACTAACACACCCACACTAACACACATCCACACTAATACACATTCACACTAACACACATCCACACTAACACACTAACACACATCCACACTAACACACATCCACACTAACACACATTCACACTAACACACTTCTACACTAACACACTAACACACATCCACACTAACACATTCACACTAACACACTTCTACACTAACACACTAACACACATTCACACTAACACATCCACACTAATACACATTCACACTAACACACATTCACACTAACACATACACACTAACACACTAACACACATCCACACTAACACACATCCACACTAACACACATCCACACTAACACACTAACACACATCAACACTAACACACATCCACACTAACACACTAACACACATCCACACTAACACACATCCACACTAACACACATCCACACTAACACACATCCACACTAACACACATCCACACTAACACACTAACACACATCCACACTAACACACATCCACACTAACACACTAACACACATCCACACTAACACACTAACACACATCCACACTAACACACATCCACACTAACACACTAACACACATCCACACTAACACACATCCACACTAACACACTAACACACATCCACACTAACACACATCCACACTAACACACATTCACACATGCACACTAACACACATGCACACTAACACACATGCACACTAACACACATCCACACTAACACACATCCACACTAACACACATCCACACTAACACACATCCACACTAACACACATTCACACATCCACACTAACACACATCCACACTAACACACTAACACACATCCACACTAACACACATCCACACTAACACACTAACACACATCCACACTAACACACATCCACACTAACACACTAACACACACCCACACTAACACACATCCACACTAACACACATCCACACTGACACACTAACACACATCCACACTAACACACATCCACACTAACACACATCCACACTAACACACATCCACACTAACACACTAACACATATCCACACTAACACACATCCACACTAACACACTAACACACTAACACACATCCACACTAACACACATCCACACTAACACACTAACACACATCCACACTAACACACATCCACACTAACACACATCCACACTAACACACATCCACACTAACACACATTCACACATGCACACTAACACACATGCACACTAACACACATGCACACTAACACACATCCACACTAACACACATCCACACTAACACACATCCACACTAACACACATCCACACTAACACACATTCACACATCCACACTAACACACATCCACACTAACACACTAACACACATCCACACTAACACACATCCACACTAACACACATCCACACTAACACACATCCACACTAACACACTAACACACATCCACACTAACACACATCCACACTAACACACATCCACACTGACACACTAACACACATCCACACTAACACACATCCACACTAACACACATCCACACTAACACACATCCACACTAACACACTAACACACATCCACACTAACACACATCCACACTAACACACATCCACACTAACACACTAACACACATCCACACTAACACACATCCACACTAACACACATCCACACTAACACACTAACACACATCCACACTAACACACTAACATACATCCACACTAACACACTAACACACATCCACACTAACACACTAACACAGATGCACACTAACACACATGCACACTAACACACATGCACACTAACACACATCCACACTAACACACATCCACACTAACACACTTCTACACTAACACACTTCTACACTAACACACTAACACACATCCACACTAACACACTAACACACATCCACACTAACACACATCCACACTAACACACATCCACACTAACACACATCCACACTAACACACACTAACACACTAACACACATCCACACTAACACACTAACACACATCCACACTAACACACATCCACACTAACACACATTCACACATCCACACTAACACACATGCACACTAACACACATGCACACTAACACACATGCACACTAACACACATCCACACTAACACACATCCACACTAACACACATCCACACTAACACACTAACACACATCTACACTAACACACTTCTACACTAACACACTTCTACACTAACACACTAACACACATCCACACTAACACACATCCACACTAACACACATCCACACTAACACACACATCCACTCTAACACACATCCACACTAACACACTAACACACATCCACACTAACACACTAACACACATCCACACTAACACACATCCACACTAACACACTAACACACATCCACACTAACACACTAACACACATCCACACTAACACACTAACACATATCCACACTAACACACATCCACACTAACACACATCCACACTAACACACATTCACACATCCACACTAACACACATGCACACTAACACACATGCACACTAACACACATCCACACTAACACACATCCACACTAACACACATCCACACTAACACACATCTACACTAACACACTTCTACACTAACACACTAACACACTTCTACACTAACACACATCCACACTAACACACTAACACACATTCACACTAACACTGCAAAGTCGCCATGACAAGTTGGGCCTCCACTCAATGTCGCCCCCTTCTGCCCCCACCGCCCTCCCACCTCCCGACCACTGCCTCCAATTCCCAAGATTCAGGCTCCACTCGCGACGCCCTTTCGCTCTCAGGAGCAATTAAACTCGAAAGGAGCCACGATTATGACCTCTAAATGCTTCAAATGAGGCAGGCAATTGGGCATGCGGCGCGACCCCAACTCGGGGTCACAGGAACTGACCCCGCCCCCCTCCGTGTGTAGCATACACACGCAGTGTACGCCTTTGTTCCACAACTAGCACTAGCCCTACCACTACCATGAACCATACCAATAGCCCTACCACTAGCCGTACCAGTCTCGCACTAACCTTAATCTGCTGTTACTCCAGAAAAGCGCGAGTGGCGAGTCACGGTTTGATTCCTGGATGTGGTGAACTCTGGGCTGTGATGACTCAGGAGACGAGCAGATCCCTTGCCCAGAAAGAACAGCTCAAGTCACTTTATAAAGACAAAGATCCCCCGTGTAGCCTCAACAAACTGTTGGGGCAAGTGCTGTTGTCAAGCACCTATGAATGCCGGCACAGAACATGACGGGGTGGGTGGCCAGCACCACGCGCGACCGCCTTTGTCTCCCGAGTTACGATGCTTATACATCGCAACAGTTACTAATTTGAAGCTGAGGACCGGTACAGATAATCGTCACCGGTACCAGTGTTGGTAACCGTAAGTGGGAATCGAAACCGGATCGCCGGATTCGTAGCACAGCGCGTTAACCACT